AGAGCAAAGGAATAATAGATATATGTGCTCACACAGCAAGAGACAAGAGACTGACAGCATCCATGAGGGCAGAGATAGTCACTTAATCACTTCCTACTGTAACAGGCACCTTAAAATCCCTGCAAGAAATCTCATGTTCTAATGTAAATAGCCCACTCAAGAGCTCTAGCCACAGGAGAAATACTCAACTCCTAGAAGAAAGATAATCTACCAGCTCTTGTAAGTGGGCACACATCTAACTCAACATGTTCACATGTCCTAATTTTTGTTCCCTCTTTCTGGAACTTACAACATTGCTATGAGCAAGTAAGAGATGGATTGAGAATTTCTTCCTCAGTTTTGGTCAAAACCATAAATAAACTTATTTTCATGAATATTCTTGTTGTAAGGTGAATCATCCATCCCAGAAGCCACATTTTAAAATATAGAATATTGGAGTCTTTATTATACAGTTAACAGGCTGCAGGTATCCAGTTGTTACAAAGGCCTGCAGCACGCAAATACACATAACACAGCTAGGAAACATGCTAAAGAGGAAAGAAATAAGAAAAACAATACCAACAAGCCAATTCAACTTCAGTAGAGAGCTGAATTGGAATACTGTAATTAATGACTGGAGATGAGCCAGGAGACAGGGCACAGAACACAATCACAGAGACACACATGGCATGGCCTGCTCTTGGCTAGGCTGGTTTAGGCCTAAATAGGTTGGCACGGGGGGGGGGGCAGATTCCAGGAAATTCCCAGTCCCAGGCACTGGACTGACAGACTCAGTAACCTATCAGTCAAGTGCCTGCCCCTGCCTCCAGGGATCTGGGCATGGCCATTACCTGGGAGGCAGCTGATGAGCAGGGGGTTTTCTTCCTCCAGCATAGAGACAAGATGCCAGACCCTACAATCCACCATGTGGCCAATATGGCACCTGCCAGACCTGGCCTCCTTACTTCATTCTCTATCTCTTAATGAAAGTGAGCATTCAGACCTAGAGCCTGGTCTTATGGCCAGGGGCTGCAGTAACACTACTAGGACTTAAGTGTGTTCCCCAAAGTGGTAGGTCAGAAGCACACAGCAGCAAAAGAGGATGTCTAAGAGTTGATTAGATAATCAGAGCTCTGTTCTCATAAATGGATTTATGCCATTATCTTTAAGGAGTAAATTATTTTGAAAGTGTGTTTTGGATAAAAGGATGAGCATAGCTCCCTACCTTTCTTGCTCTCCTGCCTCTCTCACCCTTCTGCCTTTCACCACTGGATAATTCAGCAAAAGACTTTTACCAGGTACAGCCCTTGACTTTGGACTTTCCAGTCTCTAGAACTGTAAAAAATAAATCCCTGCTCCTTATGCACTCAGAGAAGTTCAACAGCACAAAGTGTACCAAGCACTTCCCAAAGACCTAGCCACATTTCAAAGGCTTGGCTCCCAAAGCTATCACTTTGGAGTTCAGAATTTTAACATGTGGATTGATAGGGGAAGGACACAATTATTCAGCTTACACTTAAAAAGATCTGCGTTTCACATTCAAAGACTACATTCAAGTGTACTGAAAGGTATGACTTCTATACATCTTTTGGAGGACACAGTACAATCTACTACAGAGTCAATGAAGGGATAAATGTCTTTATGTTCTGACTTATACTGCAGCCTAGCAAGGTCTGCTTGTGCTTCCAAATGCTTAATAATATCCATCTGGCAAAACAGAACTAAGGCTGAATTCATCATGTGGCAGGAAACTCAAAGACTTTTGTGTCAGATGAACTCTGACAATCCTAGTTCTGCACTAGATGAAAACCTAGGTTAAAAGTCATTTAACCTTTGTGAGCCTTGATTAGTAAAATGTAGACCTATCTCATAAGACTTCTGGAAGAATTGTCAGGCACACAGTGACCTCCAAGTATTATTATTTCAGAGACAAAATCTAGAAGATAAAACAATTCAGAATGATTCACACTGAAGTTGTGGTTGTGTGAATGAACCAGATCTCTTTTTTTTTTGTCCAGTCCTGGGACTTGAACTCAGGACCTGGGCACTGTCCCTGAGCTTCTTTTGCTCAAGGCTAGCATTCTACCACTTGAGTCACAGCACTACTTCCAGCTTTTTTTTCTGTTTATGTAGTGCTGAGGAATCGAACTCAAGGCTTCGTGCATGCTAGGCAAGCACTCTACCACTAAGCCACACTCCCAGCCCTGGATCTCTAATAAAAAGGCAGAAATTGGCATCAATGAGAATAATGGGATGTCCTGTCAGCAATGGAAATTAGCAATAGGAGTCTAAGGAAAAATGGTTTGCATATAGCAAAGGGGCATTTGGCTTCAAAAAGTCAGGTATTGTAGTACCTAAATGGAGAGAGGTTGGTAAAATCAAGCAGGGATGCTAGACAGTTAAAAGTGCCATTACTGTGCCAGACACTCAGGATAAAGGGGGTGAGGGTTGAGACGAAGGGGTGAGGGTTGAGACAAAGGCCTTTAACAGATGTCCTGAAGGATAGGAGCAGAATAAAGGCCAGAGCACCTAAAATACCCCATGAAAGCCTCAAAGTTTTGAAGAGAATATAATATTGGGATAGATTCTTCAGGATGAGCAAAAGTTTGTCTACCAGAGAAAAAGAGAGACTCCAGGCTTAGGGATAGAAGTAAAGCACAGAAATTAAATACTACCTTACCAGATCTGGAAACAGAAATTCGGAATCAGTCAAAAGCCCAGTTAATCTAATAAATGTGATCAGTGCTAGATTGCTAACACAAAAGCATACCATCTCCTCCCGAAGCCTTGAGGTATAATTTATAGTCAACCTGATTAAAATACAAGTTTGTCCTAGCAACCAAGGTTGGAACAAGCCTTAAGGTGGGTGTCAGGTGATTCCAGTATTTGGCAAAGGACCTATGTGGAGATTGATGATCAGTTAAGTACTTACCCAAGGAGAACAGTCTGCACCTATTCTAGGTGACTCTATATCACACAGAACAGCAGCCTTAAGCTGAGTTTATAAAACAATCTTCATATGAAGTACTCCATTTTGAATATAAGTGCAAAACCAGAATGACAGCACATCTTTTTATAAAGTAACCTGTCATCTGCTAGAACACCATAATGTACAAACTGATCATTTATGTCAACAAATAATTCTCTATGTATCAAATCACATCAAAACCACTAGACACATGAACTTACCAATTACACTAGATATTACACACTCACTTGGGACTAGGAAAGGAGGAGCACTGACTGACCTGTCATCTGGTCACCTGCCACAAGCCGGACCCAATAAAACTGCTGAAGTGAAGGACCTCTACCTCTGTCTCTGGGCTCCAGATGGAGTGCCCATGACACACAGCCCCCTTCAAATCAACATTAGAAATGGCTGCTGCCTGGACCTGCATTTGACAACTGTGCTTTGAGGGGTGAACCTGCAGTTCCTAAAACTTACCTGGTCCCCTCCAGAGATATTTCCTTGTGTTGGTATCAGTTCTTATCTCTGAGTTCAGTACAGCCCCTCTGAACACTATAGCTTCTTTAACCCTTCCACAGACATTCGGTGACCTGTACACTGTTATTGTGTGAAATGTTGAATATATAATCTGAGGACCAATATTAGGAAAGAATTGACAAAAGAAACCTGCCAATGATTCATGGCTATCAAGTGAACTCAGTGGTATTTGGCAAATAAAGCCAATGAAATTGATGTAGCATGTGGCTTTGTTAATATTCAATACATTCTGACATTGTTAAAGGATACAAGCACCTCAGTCTGTGTTTCTGCTGTAGCTCACAACATGACTTTTGCCAAAATCAGGGGAAGAGAATGAAAACAAGACTAGAAGGCATTTTACAGACTGTGACAGACTAAGTTAAACTTCACAGCAGAGCAATGAAATAAGCCTTTTGGTTTTCCAAAAGTAAAATTTACCTTGTTCCAGAAGAAAGGAAGTTTCCTGCTGAGTTAGAGAGCCCTGGGGCCTGACGGTGCTTTCTAGAAGTCATTCACTGCATGAACACCTTTTGAATCCTGGTTGAATCTCACTTCACTATATTTCCTTTCAGCTGAAAATATATATTGGATCATATTCACAAGGAACAACCAAATTGTACTCAAGTTACTAGCACCAATGGTGGCTTCTTTGTGTGCAGTAAATGTCTGTGAAGTTAAGCTCCATTAACACTTTCCCACACTGTACTGACAAGCCGCCCCTATATAGTACAGGAAAACACCTCCGCCACCAGCAGACTTCAGAAGCCCTCCAAAGTTAAGCAGCGGTCCCGCACGCTGAGAGTGTTTTCAAGATGTTAGCTAATCCTAACTGTTGACTTCTGTCTCCTCAACCCCATCCTCCCGCGGAGGCCTCTCCACACCACAGCCAAGGAGGTCCGGGCCTAGGAAGCCTTGAGAACTTCCCAGCTCAGGATGTCCCCAACCCTGGGGGCCGGGCCACAGAGGAGAGGTACGCTCTGTATTTTCAAGGGACTCTGGGAGCGGCCCGCGGGCTCTTGTCTTCCCCAGCCCCTGATGGTTCACCTACCTGAAGACGATGACCAGAAGTGGCCAGAAACTCCCTCGGGCAGAGGGATGAGGTTGTGGACAAGGATGGGGCCGTCATGCAAAGAGAGGGCGGGGATAAAGCGGGTGAGGATGGGGCGGAGTTGTGGGAATGGGCGGGGCCTTGTGTGGGAGGGGCCTGCGTGACCACGAGGGGCGGGGCCTGAGGAAGGAGGCGGGGGCAATGCGGGCATGGGTGGGGCAGAGGTGTGATCAGGGGCGGGGCAAGCAGAGGCCTGGGCAAGGCAAGTAGCTGGGTGAGGGTTGAGTGGGTGGGGGCGGAGGTGTAAGAAAGAGGTGGGGCTTGGCTGAGACTGGGGGCGGATGGAGGTGGAACTAGTGAGAGCGGGAAAGAAGTGAGGAGCAGGCGCACTTGCAAATCAGGGGCGGAGCCAGGCCCGGAAGGCGTGGCGTGCCTTACAGTGGGGCGGGATCTCCTCAGCGGCGGCGGCGGCGGCGGCGGCGGCGGCGGCAGACGCGGGAAGATGGCGGCAGCGGCGGCGGCGGCGGCGGCCGAGCAGGTCTGTAAGTCCCGCCGTGGACAAGGACGGGGAAGCATGGGAGAGGCCAGGTCTTGCCCGTGGGACCGACTGACCGTAGGCTTTCGTAGACCGGGACTCCAAGGCCGGCGGGGGGGGGCCGGGTTCCGCAAGGCAGAACGGCAGGAGCTGTCCGCAGCCGGGATGCTGCCCTAGGCCGGGAGAGCTGCCGGGCGGCCCGGGAGAGCGAGCCAGCCGCGGGCCTCGGCGGGGCCGAGCGGGGGGTCGCCGTCCCTGCGGCCCAGGCAGCGGGGTCAGGCTGGACGGGCCAGGCCGGGCCCAGCCCCGCGCTCCGCGGAGAGGCGGATAAAAATAACCCGGGCCCCCGCCCGAGGCTCGGCCGACTCCGCGAGGAGCCGTCAGCTGCTGCTGGGTGTGGCGCTGGGGGGCCCCCGCCTGCGGCCCGCCCAGACCGCCCCTCCCTCGCCACTCCTCGGAGATCTAGTTACCCGAGCCAAACTCTTGTCCAGTGCATGTTGAGCCCGTGCTTTAAATACGTTGTCGGTTTGTAACAGCCGTTTTAGAGATTGTTTCCAGGAAAAAAAAATGCATCAAGGTATATTTATGCATGCCTATCCATGCTCGTGTGCGCGCAGGTGCATGCACTGTTGGGCGCGATTTATGTTGATGAAAGTAAGTTTCATAATCCCTTTTCAAGTGATTTTTTTTTAAAATAAGGAGTAGGATCGTTTCTCTGGATAAAGCCTCATTCGTCATGGTTTGAAAAGCAGACACGCGCCGAGTCGTCAATATTCTGTTTGACCTTGGGAAAGATTTTTCTAAGTGATTGACATTTCAGAGGCCATTTATTCAATAGTGATTTCCTGCTTCGTGAAAGATCTTGTCTTTCGTATTGTACTGGTCTTCTCTGAAATCTTTTATCTTTACCCTGTGTTAGTCAACTTTCGGTTGCTATAACCAATACCTGAGATAATCAACTTACAGGAGGAAAACTGTTTGTTTGTTTGTTTTGGCTTACACAAGTTTCAGAGTTCCCAATCCATCAGTAATTTCTCCAATGGTTTTAGGCCTGGTGGGAATGTGTGATAGAACAAAATTGCTCAGTTATGGCTAGAGAAAGAGAGAAATAGGAGCAGGAGGACCCACTTTCCCCTCCAAGAGTCTACTTTCAGTTACTGAGAGACATCCCACTAGGCCTATCTCCCAGTTATAGTTGTGTGCTGAGCAGCAAACCTGTACCACGTGATCCTTTGGGGGACACTTAAGAAATCTAAACTACAGCAATTCACCTTGGCTTTTTCTACCCTCTGCTATTATACATGCAAATCTTTTCCAAGTTAGAGGAGGGGTGATTTAAATCACAGCCTTTCTCTGACAGTTAATTCTGCATCTTTAATTGTCTCTTTCCTTTTGCAACCTTTTGGACATGAGCATAGAGGTACACATACTAGTATCAGAGCTGTCTGTTCCCTTCTTACCAATTTATCAAAAAATCATCTTTGACAATCATGAAGGTACTTTTGTTTTCACGTGTGCTCGTACCAGGACTTGACCTCAGAGGATAGCCACTGTCCCTTAGCTTTTTGCTCAAGGGTGATGTTCTACCACTTGTGTCACACATCTACTTCTGGCTTTTTGGTGGTTAATTGGAGATAAGAGGCTCACAGACTTTTCTGTCCCAAGCTGACTTTGAATTGTGCTCCTCAGATCTCAGCCGCCAGAGTAGCTAGGATTACAGGCCTGAGCCACTGGCTCTGACAACAAACATGAAGTTACTTTTTTAAAATGGTACTGTAATCTCTGTACAATATCTCATTATATCTCATTTTCCAGTATTTTTGCACATTTAAGGTTCCCTGAAACTAACTATATTCTTAGCTCTTCTCTTCCTTTTATCCTATTTTTCCCAGTGATGTGGTCTCATAGTTACAATATGCTCTAGGCTCAGGATTCCCAAATCTGTATGCTGGTTCAGAATGACCAGCAAACTGTGTCAACCATTCCAAATTCTTCCTATATAAATGAAAAAATACATTTAAGTAAAAATATATAATTAATAAAAACTATAGTGTACATACTATAGTGTCAGTTGTGTCTAGAAATGAACTGTACACATTACTGACAGTAGGTCTATTGAAAGCAAAGAGGAAATACATGTTATCAGTCACCCAAAGGGTCTGTGTGCCATCCTTCTACGCTCATTAATGTCCTTACTTGAAACCACAACTCAATGTAACCTTCGGGTTTTCAGTGGGACATTCACCAGTTCAGCTGCTTCATTATGAATTTGAGCCTCATGAATGCATTAAAAAGAGTGGTTGTTGTTCCATTTTGCTTGATTTTTAGCAGAGTTCCAATGGGCCTGTAAAGAAATCCATGCGAGAGAAGGCTGTTGAGAGAAGAAATGTCAACAAAGAGCACAACAGTAACTTTAAAGCCGGGTATATTCCAATTGATGAAGATCGGCTGCATAAAACCGGATTGAGGGGGAGAAAAGGCAACCTAGCCATCTGTGTGATTGTCCTCCTGTTTATCCTGGCTGTCATCAATCTAGTTGTGAGTATATGAGGCAAAATATTCTTTTTTTGACTACCATGAGGAATTTTCATCTTTTTTTTTTAACAGTGATAATTTGAACTTTGTTTCTATAACTTCTTTTGGGACCATCTTATATTCTGCTTTTAATTTATACATGTGTATTTTCTATTGGATTTAGTTAATACTTTATATAATAAAAACTAAAAAGCTTCTGTCTCCAACACTGCAAAAATAAGTAAATAAAAGATACATTTTTAAATTTTAAACCTAGTAGACTAATATTATGAATTAATCTCACTTAGAAAAAATGTTGGTTGGTTCTTCCCTTTAAAGGATGTGACTATTAGTAAAGATAAAGTTGTAATAGAGAAAAACTTTGTCATGATTTTATTACCTCTTCTAAAAATAATGTTTTCTGTTTTTATTCAGCATTTCCTACAGTCAGTATTTCCTTTTCAGATTTTAAACTTGTAAACTTTTTGATGGTAAAAGTTTGTACTTTGTAGTCATAGTCCCTTTTTTTAAAAAGGGAAAAGTTTGTACTTTGTAGTCATAAGTGCCTTTTTTTAAAAAGGGAAAAGATATGCTAGGCTGTTGCATACAGAGGTTGTGGACTTGGCATGTCACCATTTCCAAAGATATACTCCTTTTTTTGTGCCAGTACCAGGGCTTGAACTTGGGGCCTGGGCACTGACCCTTACTTCCAACTTTTTGCTGATAATTGGAGATAGCGTCTCATGGATTTTCCTGCCCAGGCTGGCTTCAAACAGCAATCCTCAGATCTTAGCCTGCTGAGTCACTAGTATTATAGTAGATGCTTTTGAATCTGAGGTTGTGATCTCTAAAAGTTGATTTTGAAACCCTCTTCTGTATGTGTAGATCAATATTTTCAGATTGGATTTCAATGTGGAGCAGCTTGAAAAGTGATTCCATTTATTTTATTTGTTCTAATGCTTTCTAGCCAACCTTTCTATTTTATGTTTATCTAAAACTCATTTGTCTATGCTTTCACTAAAATAAGAACTGTTTCTATAGATTTCATAGTACTATAAACAGCCTTGTATTCTGAATTTATTTTATCAATGTGTTTTATAAGAGACTCCTGGGTATAAAACGTCAGAACAAAGACATTTCTATCCTTTTTTAAGGATTTTCTTAAAAAGGTTATCCTAATGTAACAATGTCAAGAAATACAAGTATCTTTGAAGACTAAACCATAATATTTGAAGACAAAAGAGGAGAGATCTGGCAAATAACTTCACAGTGTGTTGCGGAAGGGTTGTGGGCTGTGTTGATGAGTAGCCTTAGGAATTGGAAGTGCCTGGAAAGGCAAGAGTAGTCAGGAACTGAAACAGGACTTTGGAAATTCTGATAGTCAGATGCCCATGCTGCCCCACTTCTAGGCAGCACGTAGGAAGCTTCCCCTCCAAACCCCATCCCAAATCGGTGAGAGTCAGAATACCCAAGAGCAGGTAGAGTTCTTTCTGCCTGATGCAAAGGACAACAGGGTGGGTTGTAGGTTAATCTGAAGGCGGAGCACTGAAGCTCCATTTCCAGCTCGCCCTTGTCCTCATCCTCTACCTCCAGCTCCCCTGACAGCAGGCAGGAGATAGAGGAGCTCTCAGGAGGACTGAGGCACCTATAGAAAACAGGTGATGGTTGTCAGATTTAGCAGGTGCCCATGAAAAAGCCCACTGTTGTTCCCTATTGTAAAGCAGGCCGTTCACAAGCCCCACCCACACACAGAGAATTGTCCACGCATTTTTATTACCTCACTGTTAAGTATGAACACTCAGCAAGGCATCAATAGATTTTTTTTGAGAAATGATAGAAACCAAAGTATCCAAATTGGATTTTCCCTTTAGAAAAAGGAACGAATGACAGAAAATCTAAAATCAGCATCTTCAGAGAAATAGAGGATATTATGCCCATGAAACCAGAATAACATGCCATTTAAAAGAAGTGATTAAGGAAATAAGGAAGAACTCATATAAATAGGCAAGAGAGGGAAGAAAGGAAAGGGGAAGAGAAAGAGGGAGGGAAATAATAGGCAGTGGGAGACACTGGAAGATAAATAGTAAGAGATCTTCCAGAAGGTTCAACAAAATTAGAGAATCTGGGAGCTTTCTGTTTATAGGAGATTCTGAAAGTTCAGGTGGAAGAAACATTGGAGAGAGTTATCAAATGAAATGAAGAAATTTTTCTAGATCAGATTGAAAACTATTATTTGAGGTCCAACATAATACATTAAAATAGTCTCATATCCAGACCATTACTATGAAATCTAAGAAAACCCAGAATAGTGGTAAATTTCCAAGTCTTCTAGGTTGGAGAAATACAGTCTGCATATAAAGAATGGACAATCAAAATGTTATCAGACTCTCAGATGTAGCATTGAAAACCTAATGACCATAAAGTAATGGCTTGATGTTCAAAAAATAATCATTCAAGACTTTAAATTTATACTTAGCCACACTGTCAGATGTCAGAGATTAAGGATATGTTCTTGCCATGCATATGTTCCAAAACATTTTATTCCTCATGCATTGTTTCAAAGGAGCCTTAGTTTTCTATCCAGAGAAAACCAGGAAAGTTAAAAAGACAAAGATTTAGGCAACTGGTTATTTTACACAGGAGAAAGAAGGAAGTTCCAATGTGAAAGTGAAGGAAAAATTCAGTTATACCTGTGCAGGAGCCTAATGGAGCTAAATGGCAGTGGAAAGATGGGGACTCCAGAAAGATTAGCTGAAAGAGAAAAATAAAATAATTATGTTGGGCCAGGAATGTGGCTTATTGGCAGAGTGCCTAGCATGGGTTCAACTTTTCAGTACTACATAAACAGAAAAACCCAAAGTAGAGCTGTGGCTGAAGTGGTAGAGTGTTAGCCTTGAACAAAAGAAGCTCAGGGATAGTGCCCAAGCCCTGAGTTCAAGCCCCAGGACTGGCAAAAAAAAGAAAAGAAAAAGGAATATATTATTTGAGAAGTTTAGACTTAAAGATCATTTTAGCTTAGTGCTGGTGGCTCATGCCTGCATTCCTAGCTACTCAGGAGGCTGAGATCTGAGGCTCATGGTTAAAAGCCAGCCTGGGCAAGAAAGTCCATGAGACTCATCTCCAAATAATCACCTTGCGTAATACATCTTATCAGTAGAAAATCAATTGATGTTCATCTCACTGATAAAATACTTTTGAACACTTCTAATGTCTTGGCCCTTGTCTTTTCTATTTGCTTCCCAGGTGTGCCAAGTATACACTGCCTGTTAACAGTGAACTTGGATGCTCTTTTTCAGATAACTCTTGTCATCTGGGCTGTGATTCGCATTGGACCAAATGGCTGTGACAGCATGGAGTTCCATGAAAGTGGTCTTCTTCGATTTAAACAAGTATCTGACATGGGAGTTATTCATCCTCTTTATAAGAGTACAGTAGGAGGAAGGCGAAATGAAAACTTGGTCATCACTGGCAACAACCAGCCTGTAAGTCACCATATCATCTGAAGTATAATGTGAATAGAAGCAAAGCATTAGAAAACAATTTTTGGAAAAATCTGGACTTGAGTACTAGAACTATATGTCTTCCGCTAGGAAAAAAATTATATACATATGTTCATCATTGTATTAGTTGTCATAAATATTCATCATTTGCTAACATTGCTGTTTTCATAATCTATTAAAAATAGATGCTTTCTAGATCACATTCAGTGGTATCCTTGACAGATGCAATTTGATGTCATTATACAGAAGTATTTAAAATAGATAGAATATTCTTTTCTCTTACATCTGAGGAAAGCATTGCAAAAGCATCTTCCTAGGTTAGAAAACCCTGTTTTGGGGCTGGGAAGGTGGCTCAGTGGTAGAGCGCTTGCCTTGCAAGCCTGAGGCCCTGGATTCAATTCCTCAGCACCACATAAGCAAAAGAAAAAAAAAAGCCAGAAGTGGCGCTGTGGCTCAAGTGGTAGAGCACTCGCCTTGAGCTGAAGAGCTGAGGGACAGCGCCCAGGCCCAGAGTTCAAGCCCCATGACCGGACCCAAAAAAAAAAAACCCCTGTTTTTAAATGAGACTCTAAATGATAACCAGCCACTGTACTCAGTGGCAAGCCAGGATAAGTAACTGCTATCACATAGGAATTTTTTTTTTAATTTCATCCTGGGGCTTGAGCACTGTGCTCAAAGCTAGTGCTCTACCCCTTGATCAACAGCTCCACTTCTGGCTTTTTTTGGTGCTTAATTGGAGATAGTCTCACAGACTTTCCTGTCTGGACTGGCATCACACTACAATCCTCAGATCTCAGCCTCCTGAGCAGCTAGAATTACAGATGTGAGCCATCAGTGCCCAGCCTCACGTAGGCTTTTAACTGAGTAAAATCTCAAGCAAGTGTTCTTACCTCCTCCCCTGGCCATCTTAGTTACTGACCTATGTTCTCCTATCAGTACTTTTGGGCTCTTATATAAGCAAATAAGCATGTAAGCCTTCACTTTAAAGAACTCTTCTCCAAAGTGATTGGAGCTATAATTTAAAATATTTGAAGTTGTCTTATTGTAGTTTTTAAAAATAATGTTCATAAAAAAAAAAGGAAATGGTAGAGTGCTCGCCTTGAGCTGAAGAGCTGAGGGACAGCACCCAGGCCCAGAGTTCAAGCCCCACGACCGACAAAAAAAAATAATAATAATGTTCATGAATCTGAGATGCCATATTCTTTGAAAATTTGTAATAAAGTGTTTTTCTGAAGATTGTTTTTCAGCAAGGGACAACAAAACTCAGTGTAGAAAAGAACAAAACTTCTATCACAAGTGACATTGGAATGCAGTTTTTCGACCCCAGGACTCAAAATATCTTGTTCAGCACAGACTATGAAACTCATGAGTTTCATTTGCCAAGCGGAGTGAAGAGTTTGAACGTTCAAAAAGCATCTACTGAAAGGGTATGATTTGTTTTCTTCTTTTTATGAATAAAAGAGAATTGTTGCCTAAAATTATAAAGTGAGAGGAGAGTTTTACCATTTTTACTGGCATAAAAGAATGTGTTCTGGAAAGGGTTAGTACTAGACCTGTCATTACTAGCTTGTGTGAGAATTATCACTTATCTAGAGCATGTCTTTTCAAAGCTTATTTCTCTATCTATGATAATAATTCACACATTAATTTAGAAATTTTTCTCAGTATTTCTTTTTTAATTTCTAGATTACCAGCAATGCTACCAGTGATTTAAATATAAAAGTTGATGGGCGTGCTATTGTGCGTGGAAATGAAGGAGTATTCATCATGGGAAAAACCATTGAATTTCACATGGGTGGAAACATGGAATTAAAAGCTGTGAGTAGGGGCTAGGAAGGTGGCTCAGTGGTAGAGTGCTTGCTTTGCATGCATGAGGCCCTGGATTTGATTCCTGAGCACCACATAAGCAAAAAGAAAAAAGCCGGAAATGGCGCTGTGGCTCAAGTGGTAGAGCACTAGCTTTGAGCTGAAGAGCTGAGTGACAGCGCCAGGCCCCACAACCGGACCCCAAAAAAAAAAAAAAAAGCTGTGAGTATTTACTTATTTTAAAAATTTAGGAGAATACTAAATTCTTGAATAGATAAGTTCATATATTGCAATTATTAAAAGTGAGTATATTTTTCCATCCTGGAGAAATATTCAAAATATATTATGTAGTGAAAGAATTATAAATCAATTTGTGAAATATATTAATTTTTATTTTTCAGGACATATATATTTATAATAACCTAAAAGACTTGTCAAAAATGTCAGTAATATTTATTCATTTTAAAATCACAAAAGTAAAATCCAAAAATTTTAAAAGAGAATTCTGAAAGATAAGACTATGCCCTGAAGTTGTTGTTTTAAATAAAGATTTTTCATATTCTTTTCTGTTTCATATCTAATGATATGAAAAAACAATTAGTAAATATATAAAATATGTTTGTATTTAGCCATGTATTAATTTAAAAGGAAAAATATCTCTGCCTTTATTGGTGTTGTTGAAAGTGAAATATTCTTTATGTTGCACAAATTACATCTGAATTTAGCAGGTTCCATACCTACTTTGTACAAGAGAGACATAAGTCTAAACATTTTATACCCTTCCCAATTCTGGTCAAAACACATTTATTTGAAATGCCTTTCTTTGGGCAAATGCTGTATACAACATATCTAAAGCTAATTAGAGATGTCCTTGCCAAGCATTAGCCCCTTAGCCTAAGGTTAGAAGTAATTCTTCCTTTTGTAAAAAAATTCAGTTTTACAGTTCTTACAAATAATTAGTGAAGTAGTCACTTCCATTTCATAAACAGCAGAGACTTCCATCTCTAAATTATAATGATGAACCAGTGTGGCTCTTGTCAGTTCTACATCAGTGCTAAGCAGTTTGTCACTTGCATTGTATATGAAGCCATTGTTCTGAGAGATGTGTGGATAAACAGCCTGACCAGGGACCAGGGCTGCTATCTGCACTAGAAATTAGCAACAGTTCTGTGCCGTTTGCATAGAGACTATGGAAAGTTTTCTAAACCTTTCATTCTTTCCACAGGAAGATTCTCATGCCATTCTACCTTGTTCTTAACAAGAGAAATGTTAAAATATGGAAATACACATATACATATACTATTAAGGGAAAAGGAGCCAGAATTGAAAAGAGACTTAGTTTTATAACTCAGCTAATACCAATAGTGAAAGTATATAAGCTAATCATTAGAAGAGTTTTATCAAGCTACTTTTTAAATTTTATTTTTTACATTTTCTTTTTAATTGACTTGCAGTGTACATATTTATGAAGTGTAATGTGTGATATTTTAATCTGTAGCTACAATGTACAATGATCAGATGTGAATCTTAAATCATCTTAAATATTTATCTTTGTGGTGAGAACATTCAAAATTTTTCATCACCAAAACAGTAGTATTCACCATAGTCATCCTGCTGTGCAAGACTAAAGAAAGTGAAACTCAGTGACCACAAGATGGCAGCACTGGAACAAAATTTGAAAAATAGACCCTTAAGAATTACATTTATTCTACACAGATTTATTCCTAAACTGAAAATTTGGATTAGGAATTCTCAGCCACTGAAGTTTATGAAATATTCCAAAGTACAAAGGCTGAAATCTAAATTATGGTCCCAGTCATTTCTGATAAAGGGTATTCAACTTGGACTACCACTACATAATAAGTGAATCAATTCTACTGCTTTATAACCTACTTTCTCTAATTCCTGTAAACATCGTGAGTTAGCTGATGACTGCCTTAGAGCTGCTGCCTGAACCTTTCCACTGAACTACTATTCACTCACCCAATTGCCTGCTTACCTGTCTCCTTCCATACCTAACAGGTGTCTGAAATCTAACAGGCCTAAATCTAAAACCTCAATAGCCCTTATAGCCCAGGCTGGCCTAAAACTCCTAATCTTCTCCCAACTGCTAGGATTACAGACTTCTAGATTATAAATGTGTACTTGTAATTTGCCACCATTCCTGGCTCAGAGTGACCAGTTAAAAAGATCTCACTTTATTTATTTGAACCTCTAAATGGCTTCCAATCCAATTTCAAATAAAATTCAAAATCCATTCCCTGGATGTAGAGCTATGGTTCCTAGTTATTTCTTTGTCTCTTGTTACAGTTACACCAGATGTCCCCCTTATTCTCATTGCTGCATCCATACTGGCCCCGTACCATGCCTAGAAAACCAGGCACATACTGTGGAGCCTTGGCATGCATTGTTTCCTCTGCACAGAGCACCCTTCCCCAGTTACCTACATATCCTGCTCCTTCACTTCTCCCAGTTCCTGTTGGATATGACCTCATCAGAAAGACCCTCCCTGACAACCCTCTGGAAAATGGAATCCCCCCAGCCTTTCTCTGCGTATAACCATGTTTTATTTTTCCCCATAGCATTTGTCCCATCCAGTGTTCTATATGTTTCTACACGTTCATCTGTTTATTATCTGCTTCCATCCCATTCAACATCAGCTATATCAGAACTTAGATTTTACTTAACCTATTTACTAGTGTACCCTACAGTTAGAATTGACACATAGTAGGTACTTGATAATATTTGTTAAATGAATGAAAGGAAGAAAGGGGAGAAGGAAGAAGAAAACAGGTTGGTACTACCTAAAAAGACAGTATTAAGGATCTGCAATCCTGTCTAAGGAGTAAGGTTTGAAACCAGCTTGGGCAGCAGAAAAGTCTGCAAGAGACTTCATCTCCACTTAACCAGCAAATAGCTGGACTGGAGGCATGGCTCAAATGGTAGAATGCAAGCTGAGCAAGCTCAAAGCCCTGAGTTCAAGCCCCAGTACTGGCACACCAAAAAAAAAGAAAGAAAGAAAAAAATAGTTACTTGAGCAGTGAGCTTGAAAAAGAGAACCTCCAGGCTGTGTTCTTTGAGTGGCTGCCTTCTAAATTATTAACTTATTTCTATCCATTAAAATTAATTTCCTCTAAGATAGTCTTCTCATTTTCACAAATTTATCAACTAGTAACTTAATTCTCTTAGAAGTTAGCAAGGGAAAATGATCTGAGACTTCATCAACAACACTTTTTTAATACACTTAGGAGTCGGATGTCATTTTAACTAGTAATTATAAGTTAGGTGCTGTTTTGTTGACATACAGTAAGGACAGAATGAGTCGCAGAGTCATCAGTTGAATCTTGATACTAGTTTTGGTTTTTGTTGTCAGCTGTGCTTGATTTTGGTCATGACATTACTCTCTCACTTCTTTTCTTGTTAACATTCCAGTAAGTTTTGTTGGTTACCTTTGTTGTGTAGATATTTGTGAAGGTAAATAAATCATATCATTATCCTCCCCACAGGAAAACAGCATCATCCTAAATGGGACTGTGATGGTCAGCACAAGCCGTCTACCAAGTTCGTCCAGTGGAGAGCAGCCAGTGGGTGACTGGGTGCGCTTCAAGCTCTGCATGTGTGCTGACGGGACACTCTTCAAGGTGCAAGTAACCAACCACAACATGGGCTGCCAGATCTCAGACAATCCTTGTGGAAACACACATTAGAAGAACTCTAGAGGTTGTCAGTATATTCATATCTTGCCTTTTTAAAAAATATGCATGCAAATCATGTTTTTACAGAGTTTGTGATAACTCGTAATTATTTTACCTGGAGGTCACTACTGTATTATGTAGTCTCCTTAATTAAAACATTTTTCAGTGCCTGAATTCTAATAGATTTTATTAAGTTGCACTGGTCTTCAAAAGATAGTTCTTTAAGTAACTTAGTTAATAAAATTAATCTTTAAAGAAGTATTTTTTTAAATTTTATTATCCTTTATCTAAAAGATAAAGGGCTGAAACAAACTAGTTAGACTCATCATCAGTCAGCTTTTGGGGATAGACCCTAAGAGACATTTAAAAGATAGTCCATCAATGGTCCATGCTGTTTTGGCTGCTAAAAGGGAAGATGCACATTAATCTTGTGCATTAATCTTGAGCCATACCCTTCCATGCAAGTGAAGTCATTAAGGAATCTAATACATGTAAGATCCTGTTCTGCAATATATTGTTTATTTGAAATAATGGTTAATATTAAGTGCTCACAAAGTGTTAGACACTAAAACACTAACCACTAAAACACAATGATAGCTGCCATTCGCTGAGCACCTTACGGTTCCTAGATAGTGTCCTAGGCATTGCATGTTTAAAATCTAATTTGCACTGCAGTTGTAAAGTAGGTGTTACTGTTCGATCTTTTCCCATTAGGGAACTGAGGAACAGAGAAGTTAATTTGTCTCACAGCACATCGTAGATATGGGATTTCAAATGTCATCTTCTTTTATAATCTGTACTAATTTTCAATTATTTAAACCTCCTGAAAGATTGAATAAAAAGACTAAACTTAGCTAAGCAGGTAATAAGTAATAATCAAACAACAACAAAAAAAAAAAACCCTGTGCTATTCTAACAGTAAAATTCATGTCAGACAAAAAAAAAACCCACCAATCACTATTAGACTTAAAATATTCAGTGGGAAGATCTAATTGGACTTTTTACCCATTTTCTACACAGTTGTCCTCTGCATACAAGTACCTGAGTGGGTTAAAGAGATACCAGGATATTTATAGCCCAGTGGAAAGTGAGGAGGCAGTGGGTCCAGATAAGCTCTGTTGTCCTGGAATGATAGGATGCATTTACTTCTGTGTGCCACACAACTATCACCCTGTTAAATATGCCCTGTGCACCAGGATGCACTGGACCAAAGGTTGCTAATACAGGAGATAATGCACATAATTTGGGGGGGCTGGGGGGGTCATGGGGCTTGAACACAGGACCTAGGTGCTGTCCCTCAGCTCTTTTGCTCAAAGCTAGCACTCTACCAGTTTTAGCCACAATGCCACTTCCAGTTTTTGAGTGGTTAATTGGGGATAAGAGTCTCACAGAGATTTTTTCTGCCCAGGCTGGCTTCAAACCACAGTCCTCAGATCTTAGTCTCCTGAATAGCTAGGATTATAGGCATGAGCCACCAGCACCTGGTGCAAGTAATTTTTAAATAAGTATAAGACTATCTCTGCCTCTAATATTATTATCTCATTGTAATTATTTATAACTCTTAAATCAGTTTAATTTTAATGTATTTCCTATTTTATTTGAGAGGAACTCTGGCATTAAGATACATGGAAAATCAAAGACTAGGATCCCAAAGTAGGTTGGTGTAAAATAGGAAGTAGGGATGTAGCAGAAACCCAACTGCACCAAAATGTAACCACATTCTGTTATAGTCACTTGAAACTCTTAAGAAAATCAATACAAAATGCAATTCATATTCAATATTGTCATGATTGGCTCTGATAGGAAAACCAGATACCTAAAAGATTATAAAGTCAAAAAGTTATATTGAAAAAAAGGAATTGACTAACACTGAGTGCAGTCTTTAAATGGAAAGGGAGAAAGCCTTTTGACCTCTGAGTATTATTAATTATAGCAGTATGTGAACCATTTGGATATATTCAGTATCATTAATATCTGAATGATGCTCAGAAAACTAAGTCAATAGAATTTTTGTTTAGACTTTTAAATTGTGCATTTGTTACTGTTCTATTTAAATTGCTTTGGGAATTTCAGTAAATATTTTTTACTAAAACTATATAACACTATATTACAAAATATTATTTATTGAATATATAATTCATGAAATCTATTTTTACTTCTCTTTGAGAAATACTTGTCTTTTTGATACATCTTCATTAAATGCTTTTGACAGAAGATATTTTGATGTTTTTATAGAGCTGATTGTTTCCTGGTATAGTATTATTGGGTACTTTGCAGGGTCTTAGTTTTTCCATTGAATGGGAAACTGGAAAATTCACTGAGAAACATAACAACCATGAACCATCCATTTTACCCATGACTTTGATTCCCAGTAAAGCGTAGCTACTCAGTCTCTCCACCAGATGGTATCTTTCCAATAAACAGAAGTTTGTCTCTTCCTGCTGTGTGCTCATTTCTTTGCACTGACCTCCACTGGACAAGCAGCCACGTGGAGGTAGGTGACAAAGGAAGGACCCCATTAGAGGCATGATGGTCCTTGTTTAAATAAGGACAGCATTCTCGAAGTGATTGCAATGGCAGAGAGGGGCGCAATAAATAAATGCAAGACTTTAGGGAGTCACTACCAGGCACCTGGGAAAAAAATGAAAATATCACAAAACAGAGACTATCCACAGTGTGCAATATTCGGAAGTCTACCTACATGTATTCTTTTTGCATTATGAAAACAAAACCAAAATAAAGCTGTATGATTGTTTTAATGATGAAAAGGTGAACTTCTACCAGTTCTGAATGACTGTTTTTTTAAAGGAGTAAAACTGTTGTTAAGGTGCTACACTTGAAGAGACCATTGACATGCTGATAATTCTATTAATTTTTTTAAAATGCTGAGAAGGCAAAAGTTTCAAATTATGCCATATTAAAAAAAACATAAATGTGTTACTGGTTGCTAACTTGAGTGTTAGTTGATTCATTTGTAATAATGATTAATGACCTCTTTTTACAATAAAAGTTCTGTAAACTATTTGCTCTTTGTTTTTTAATGGTTAAAAGTTTTCTGCTTGATCTCTCTTTCTCTGTCTCTTTCACACACACACATACACACATACACACACACACGAGATGAATTGGACCCATATTTATTATGTTTCTATGGAATGAAAGTTAGAAAAGTTGTTTAGTCCCAGCTGGAGAGTTTTCTGTATGCTTCCATGGCCCAGGGGATTGTGCACTGTCACTGTGGCAAGAGCTTGGAAATGAAAGAGTGAAGGCTCCACCTAGAAAGCTGATGGGATGGGCGGAGCCTCCAGGGCTCAGGTCTAGGATCTCCACCTGGCGTGACCCAGCTGTAGACCAACCCACTTGCCAACCGGTAAGGATCTGTAAGGATCTTAAGGTATGCTTCAGGTGCAAGTAGTAACATTGTGTCTTTCCATAGCTTGTCATCAGTATCTTGTTTTTTCCTGACTTTTTCCAACTTCTCTTGATGAAAGAATGAATTCTTATTTCTGCATTGTTAATTCTGCCTTCCCCTGACTCACTCTGATACATACATATCCAAGTATTTCTAACTGCTTCCTCATACTTCAGCTGGAATTTGTCACCCTAAGGACTATATTTTACCTAATTGTTTACAGTTTCCTCAGAAACTTAAGAGATCTCAGTGGTTTCTTACCTAGTACAGATAAATTTGAATGTAGTATAAATAAAATCAATGCTTTTAACTTTAGATTTATCCTTACCTACTGTGTTGAGTTCAGACTTTCAGTTGTCAGTCTTTTCAACTTGAAACCAGGTAATAAAAAAAATCTAACTTAAATCTCCTTTTAAAAAGGCGTTTTGAACCGTAGCTTTCTCTGTTAAATATTGCAAAGTAATGACTGTATTGGGTTTTTTTTTCTGAAGGGTTGCTCGTATTATAGTCAAAGCTTGGAGTGCAGTTGTATAGATAATGATTGCAGCTCTGAGTGTATAAACAAATATCTTCCAGCTGAGCAAGTTAATTCCATTTCAGAGTCTTGCACATAGGGCACAGTGGAAATCTCCTCCTTGCTGTAAGGCACCTTGAAGTTTATGACCATGTGTACCTGAACTTAGGTGTCCTTCAATTGTTGGGAGAATTGACCTGTGAAACAAATGTAAGAGGTATGTTGTGAATTTAATTCACTCTGCATGCATGCACACAGGTATCCCAATGAGAGTATTGACTGTTAAAAATATAAAATGTGTTGGGCATCAGTGGCTCACATCTCTAATCCTAGCTACTCAGGAGGCTGAGATCTGAGTATCATGGTTCAAAGCCCGTCTGGGCAGAAGAGTCCCCGTAAGCTCTTATCTCCAATTAACCACTCAAAAACCAGAGACTCAAAGTGGTAGAATACTAGCTTTGAGCACAAAAAGAGGCTCAGGAACAGCACCCAGGCCTGAGTTCAAGCCCCCCTCCATATATATATTTATATATATATATATATATATATATATATATATATATATATATGTTATATATAATATATATTTTTAATTTATATAGAATATATATTACATATATAGTGTGTGTGTGAGAGAGAGAGTCCTTACTATCTTTTGGGGAGTTCAAAAACAGCTATAAGGCAAAATACTGGCAATGAGGCATAGTATTGACACTCTAAATGTTACTGACATCCATTCATTCAGTAAATGTTGACTGAAAGATGGGTGGAAACAGACAAAATAGACACTAGAGCAGGAAAGGAGGCAATGGGCCATCAGATTTTAGGTAAGTCTGAAAGTATGTGTAGGATTTAGGCTGAGTAGAGAAAAGGATTCTGCTTGGACTTGAAAATAAGCAATGTTTTATTGGCTGAAACATAACTGTTTTTGCCCAAGTCACATCTGAGCAGTTGCTCCACATGAATTTACCAAATTTAATTTATAAGACTAGGTAGATAATGGGAAGCTTTGAATGGCAACCCAAAGGAGTTGGGCTATAGATAATTAAGGAAGGTCTTAAAAGATTTTAAATGAGGAAATTATATAAGGAAAACAGAAAACAGTATCCTTGGAATTACCTAGGGTAGATTAACTGCCTCAAGAAGAGGCAGTTAAGCCATTTCATATTTTAGACTGTAGTGATAAAGACTAGTATGCATGTTATTAGACCAAAAAGGAAGGAGCCATTTATTTGACTTGTAGAGAGAATACAGAATAATATTACTGATTGTGTACACATTGGTTTTTAAAATAGAACTTAGAACAAATCATTTCAGGTTATTTTGTGTTTACATTTAATATTTATAACTTGTGTATACTTACAAGAACTTTATTGCTCTCCTGGAATTTTTGGTGAAAAAAGATACATGTTTCTATATCTCATTACATCTTCATGTTCTGAGGCAGAGAATCCTTTTCTTGACCCATTTTACTTTATGTTCTTTACACTTAAATTATTTCAAAATGGTTTGAAAGTCAAAGCCACAAAGATGAACTTTGTTTAGTTCATTGACTCATTTTTTTAAAAATCAAGTTGTCTCTTTTGTCAGTTGAACTTTCTACTCATACGGGAGGTTCCCAGTTTCGAGAAACTGGATGTCATTCCTGTAATAAACCACACAGATGATTACAGTATTCTAGATAAGCGCAATAGACTTTACCCTGTGCTAATGACCAGCAAAGGAAAGTCTAGTCTGAGTAGGTTTAAGTCACTCCGAAGCAGACTGCTGGGTGAATGATAGTGGAAAAACAGATGCACAGGTGAGGCCTTAATGAATGTATATTTTCTGAAAAATCAAGGGGTCCTTTAAAATGTCACAGAAGTGTAATTCTTATACTATAGCTTTCAGTTTGTTAGCTACATTAAAATACCCCGACTTCTAAGAACTCATTCACTTAAAATGATAGTCAAGATCATTTTCTTTATTCTTAAATTTTTAAATTCCTGCTTCTTATTTGCTGTTAGTGTTTACACAATTTATTTTGAGTAAGTCATCTTACTTCACTTTTTTCAGGCATGATGAAGAACCTCAGCATTGCTACCCTAGTTACAAGTCTTGTCTTCACTGGAATAATGGCAGAGCCATCAAGAGAAAGCAGCATTTTCTCCAATTCTGAGGACCAATGGAATGAGTATCTTCTGACAAATTGTTCTTTTACTGAAGAACATTTTCCACCTCCTGATGAATCAGAGATAGTAGCCACAGTGGATGTGAGCTTCCATTTCCTTAAAGTTCTCTTCCACTCTCCTACAAAACAAGGACAGGAAATAGAGCATTTGGACCCCAGTAATGATATCATATGGAAAATAATCTCATGCCCTCTTGAGCATGTACATGCTTTGGAAATATTAAACCTCAGTGACAGTGTAATCCACTCTATCTCATTGGATCTGCCAGGACCTCACTCCTCACAGCTGAGACTACATAGAAGCAGCCTTCAACATGAGCTTCCATTTCTAAAGGTGCTCAGTCTTCAAAGAAATAAACTCAGAGATATACCCACGGGTGAGTAGTTTTAAAAGTCGAATGAATCAGAGAAACAGTGAGTTTATGGAAAACTACTATTTTATGTCAACCAAATTCTTATTTTCAGTTTTAAGGGAGCAGCCGAATGTCAATATATGATTGGAGCAAATACAATGAAAGGTCCTACGTGTGGAAATTAGGATATATAGTGTGGAACCGATATGAAATCCAATCTAATCTCCATTTAGTATGACTCACATTAATGTTAGGTACACTTGTCAAGAGATACTAGAAAGTATCTAGGTACTAAATAATAATGTATGATTTTTAACTTATTTGTTCTGAGTGTTGTATATTAATACAGAAAAAACACTGAGAAATAACTTGTTTGGATATTTTAATATGTAGCAATGCAATTTTGTGTTGACATATTTGTGATTTTTTTCTTCTTGGAATACATTTTGTCTCTTCTTACTTAGTTGTACTCCAAATGTAGATCAGTACTATGAATCAGTATTATGAATTTGTACATTCACTTTTTATTATCAAGTCAAAACCAGAATTTCTTGTCCTACCTTCTAACAGAATGCTTTACCTCTCTTCTTATTGTAATAAATACTCATCTGATCCCAATAGTGTACATGTTAGAGTTCCTTCACAAATAGGCCAGATTTTACTTAGAAAATATATCAGGTTTATGAAGCAAGACTTCCTTTGCCTTTTTTTGTTGCTGTTCTTAGTTGTGGGACTTAAACTCTGTGCCTGGGCACTGTCCCTCAGCCCTTCAGCACAAGGCTAGTACTGTACCACTTGAGCCACAGCACCACTTCTGGTTTTCTGGTGGTTTATTGGAGGTAAGAGTCTCATGGACTTTCCTGCCCAGGCTGGCTTTGAACTGCAACCATCACATCTCAGCCTTCTGAGTAGCTGGGATTACAGGCATGAGCCACCAGCACTGGGATTTTCCTTTGCCAAAACATTCTGGAGTCCTAGACACTTCACTTTCTCTTTGTTCTTAACCTTCACTATTTGCTAAGCACTTACTTTATATGACAATTTTACTTTTTTAAAAAGGATTGTATCTTTTCTCTATCACAAATCACCATTTTTCCTCATTTTTCAGTTTTGACTATTCACATCTTTATTTTTGCCTCTTAATAGCATCTATCCATGCCATAAGCATCATTTTGACAATAACAGCCTCACAGGTAGTGTAAGTCCTCAAGTCACTGTGTTAGAGAGCTGTGTGGAAGGTGAGAGTTTCCCTTCCTGACTTTTCCATAAAACCATGTGTAGCATTTTCACGTAGAGTGTAAACTAGTTTTGATCTTATTTTGTAATTTTTATCTTATTGTTCATATTTCAAAAGGAATGCCTATTATTATTTAGGAGTTGAAGGAAAAGAGGGGGAAATTAAAGTTATTCATGCAGTATGCATTCTTCAAGGGTTTTCTTGTTTTTGTTTTGTCAGTCACAGGGCTTGAACTTGGGGTCTGGACATTGTCCCTGAGCTTTTTTGCTCTTTTAGCAGCCAACCACTTTGAGCCATAGTGTCACTCCCAGTTTTCTGGCTGCTAACTGGAGATGAGTCTCATGGATTTTCCTGCCTGGGCTGGCTTTGAACCACAATCCTCAGATCTCAGTCTCTTGAGTAGCTAGGATTACAGGTGTGAGCCATCAGCACCCAGCTCAAGTTTTTTTTTGTTTTGTTTTTCTTTTTTTTGGTGGGGGAGGGTTGTCCGGCCATGGGGCCTGAACTCTGCCTGGGCGCTGTCCCTCAGCTCTTCAGCTCAAGGCGAGCGCTCTACCACTTGAGCCACAGCGCCACTTCCGGCTTTTTTCTTTTTGCTTATGTGGTGCTGAGGAATCGAACCCAGGGCCTCAGGCATGCAAGGCAAGCGCTCTACCACTGAGCCACCTTCCCAGCCCCTCAAGTTTATTTTTTTACCTATATATTGTTCCTTCCAAAATTTTAGAGATTACTATTATGTTCCATAATTTTTATTTTATATCATGTTAGGTAGATGGATGAAAGATAACAGAGAAATATTACATAGTTGGTTGTGTGTGTGTGTGTGTGTGTGTGTGTGTGTGTGTGTTTTGTCAATCATAGGGCTTGAACTCTGAACCTGGGCACAGTTACTGAACTCATCAGCTCAAGGCAAGTGCTCTACCACTTGAGCCACAGGGCCCCTTCAAGTTTTCAGGCAGTTAATTGGAGGTTAAGAGTCTCACCGACTTTCCTGCCCAGGCTGGCTTTGAACCAGAACCCTCAGATCTCAGCCTCCTTAGTAGCTAGGATTACAGGCCTGAGCCACCTGCACCTGCCTTACAAATAGTATTTTAATAGTTGGCTTAATTGGTTTACTCAAACATTTAAGGTATTTTTTTCCCTGATGAACATCATTTTATGTATACATATTCATATGGCGCAATGCATTTTTTTTGTCAGTCATGGGGCTTTAACTCTGGGCCTGGGCGCTGTCCCTGAGCTCTTCAGCTCAAGGTGAGCGCTCTGCCACTTGAGCTACAGTACCACTTCCAGTTTTTAGGTGGTTTATTGGAAATCAGAGTCTCACAGACTTTCCTGCCCAGGCTGGCTGGCTTTGAACCAGTCCTCAGATCTCAGTCTCCTGAGTAGCTAGGATTACTGGCATGAGCCACCAGTGCCTGGCCACGATGCATTTTTAACTAATATAGTAGGTGATAATGTCACTGCTAAATTCAAGTGTCCTAAAAATGGAACCTTGTATTATCTGTAACAACATAACTGCATTGAATCTGTAGATTGCTTTTGGTAGCACAGCCATTTTCACAATATTAATTCTGCCAATCTGTGAACATTAAGTCTCCATCTTCCAGTGTCTCCTTCAATTTCTTTAAGGTATTATAGTTTTATTATAGAAGTATTTCACCTCCTTAGTTAAGTTTATTCTTAGGTACTTAATTTTTCTTCAGGCTATTGTAAATGGAATTGTTTTCCTGATTTCTTTCTCAGCTTAGTCACTCTTAATATATAGAAATATTACTGGTTGTTGTTTACTACTACTTTGCTAAAGTGCTTTTCAGATCGAAGAGGTTTTTGGTAGGGTCTTTTTAGTATGGTATCACATCTGAAAATAGGAATCATTTTACTTCTTTCTTTCCCCTTTACATTCCTTTGTTTCTTTCTCTTGCCTTATTATAGTGGCTAAGGATTCAAGCAAAGTAAAATAAGAGTGGAAACTCTTGTCTCTCCTGACATTAGAGAAAATAGTTCCCTCTTTCCCCCAATTCAGTGTTGGCACAAGTTTAACATATGTTAAGATATAGTACTTGTTATAGTATATGTTAAGATATAGTACTTCTATTCCTGTTTTCTTTATCACTTTTGTTGTTAAAGGATTTGGTATTTTGTCAGAATTTCTCTTGAATCTATTGAAATGATCATATAATTTTGTCCTCAATTTTGTATATGTACTGTATTATATTTATTAATTTGTATATTGTTGAGCTACCTTGCATGCCAGGAATGAGACCAATTTGTTCATGGTATATAAATAATCTTAATGTGTTATTGAATTTGATTTGTAAATATTTTATTGAGAATTTTACATTTATGTTCATCAGAGAAATTGGTCTATAATTTTCTTTTTTGTTGTATCCTTCTTGGGTTTTGGTGTTTTCCTTTGAAAATAGTGATAAGCCTCAGGATTTTGTGAAAATTAAAAATTGAAATGATTGTGAAATGTTTTGAGAATATAAAGAATTTATAAAGAATATAAATAGGGATTTAAAATTGTTTCTTTCTTTCACTTCAGAGTTGGACATGAGCTTTCCCTACTGAGCAACTAGGGTACTTAATCCATTCAATTAAGTACTGAGGTATTGTAGGAAATAAGAGTTCACATCGCCAAGTAGGCCAGAAAGGTATCATGAAAATGTTAGGAAACCTATAGAATACCAATGGCTTTTGTTGCATCTTTTCTCCTAGAGCTATGTATTTGTATATTAAAACATTCAGGGATTACAGGCGTGAGCAAATCCTAGCTACTCAGGAGGCTGAGATCTGAGGATCATGGTGCAAAGCCAGCCTGGGCAGGAAAGTCCATGAGACTCTTATCTCCAATAAACCACTAGAAAACCGGAAGTGGCGCTGTGGCTCAAGTAGTAGAGCGCTCGCCTTGAGCTGAAGAGCTGAGGGACAGCGGCCAAGCCCAGAGTTCAAGCCTCACAACCGACCAAAAAAAGAGAGAGAGAGAGAGAGAGAGAGAAAAGAAAGAAAAACACATTCAGTGATATTCTCCTCTGTAAAGAGAAACATTTTCTCCAGAATTTATATTCAAATTCTTAATAACTAGCCCTCATGGTGAGTTCCCATTGGATGCAGCCTAACTAGGGTACTGGTGCAGTGTCCAACTGCATTGGGAAGAGTTGAGGACAAGTCTAAGTACAGTGGGCAGTACACAGGGACTCCAGCATTTGGAGTTGCTATTGCAGGAGTATTTCTTACTAGCTTATGCCAACATAATATTAACTTTGGTTTTCTTTCATTGTTTTTTAGACATGTGGTCTTCTTGGCCTATCTGCTGTTTTCTTGCTTTTTATACAAACATGAGTACAAAGAAATCACAGTCTTCTATGAGTTTATTACCCCCCCATTTAAAGCAAGTAGCTCTTAGTCAGCTCTAGCTAATGCTGTCTTATGCCACTAAGAACTTCCAGTTCTTCGAGAGAAACCAGAAATGCAGATTTTTTATTGAATCTTTAATTTTCCTCAAAGACCTTTAAATCACTATGTAAGCCAAATACTATTGCCTCTGGCCTATTGAATGTATATTGGATAAGAGGCAATGCAAGATTTCAAAAATGTGAATTCTGCCCTGAAGGGACTTGATCATTTGATGAATAGACAGGCAATTAATAGGGAATTGTATAGTTGGATGTACTACTTTGTATAAATAAACTTTTTCTTGTCTGTTTTACCAATCCAACAGACTAAGCTTTAAGGTGAAGATTCTGTACTCTGTCCTTAGCACCAAGTACCTTGCTCATAATATTTTGATTGATTTATTGCCCTAAAAGTCTCTTGCTTAATCTGTACAAATGAATATGTGACAATTTATGTGTTACAGTCATTTCAATTAAGTCATCATCTCTGCATAATCAGTATTGCAATCAGTACTCTGCAGACAGTAGAAAAGTAATAAACCCTTATGGAATTGAACCAATTTGATCTGTTATGCAGTAGTGAGTTAAAGACATAGCCCACATGCGTGAACAGAACAGAAAAAAAAATGTAAAATTGAAGTCACTTCTTTGAAAGACCCATCTGGGAAAGCAAAATTGGGAGTCTGCTTTGACTGGCACCTTATTCTCAACCTACATTCTGAGTGCCAAGTGGGCCTTCTGGGTACTCCCTGGAACCAAGTGAAACAAAGGCAGAGACAAAAATGCAATTTAATTTTTGTGCTGAAAAAAACAAAATCTAGCTGTAATGCACTGACTTCAGAAAAAAATACAAGAATATCTAGAAAATAGCAATAGGTCCAACAATAAGTAGTTAAAAGAAAGGACATTGCTGCAAAAACTTTAAAAGTAAAAAAAAAAAATGATCTATGTACTAAAGCATCAAAACAGCTTTTTCCCTGATATATCAGAATCATTTATCTAAATCAATAACTATCTATTCATCACCTTCTTTAATCAAGGTTTGGCCAGATATCGTGGTAATATGTCTGTGATCCCAGTGGAGGTAGAGGATCACAGTTCAAGACCAACCCTAGAGCAAAAAATACTAAGATACTGTCTGTAAAGAAAAATGCTGAAGATGTAACTCCAGTGGTAGAGTGCTTGCCTAGTAAATGTAAAGCACTGAGTTCAAACCTACGTACTGCCAAGAAATGTTTGGATTTTTAAAATTGAATCTTTTATTTTAAAAGTAGAACACACTGATTGAAAGAAAGAATCCAAAAGTATATAACGTAAAAAAAGAAATTCCCTCTCATATCTTTCTTTCCTTCTCCCAGCCACCCTAGTTCTCAATGCACTGACTACTAATAATGACTAACTTAAAATATATGGTTAAGTTTGTGTATGACTCTTTTTTACCCAAAACATTTGAACTATATAGTGTTCTAAAACTTAACTTTTTTTTTCTGTTGAATCAGTTCACAGGTTGACCCCACTCTATTAACTTTAAAGACTACTTTCTATTTTATAGTACCATTTTATGTCACATTTCTACAGTTTTTCATTTGTGGATCGTTAAAGTTGTCTCCAATTTTCTACCATTATGAATAATACTGCTATAAATACTACTGGTTTTAGTTTTCATTTACTTCTTAATTTTAACAGGTCTGTGGAAACTGAAGTCATTGCAGAGTTTGGATCTGTCCTTCAATGGAATACTGCAAGTTGGGGTTTCTGATTTTCATAGCTGCCTGCAACTGGAGCACATCTATTTAAAGAGTAACAAGATATTCAAAATCCACCCAGAAGCCTTCAAGGACCTCAAAAAATTAAAGGTTCTGAAATATGTCTATACTATCTTAAATATGCAGCTATATGGGTAATTACCTTAAAAAGACTATTTCTATTGAAGAAGTTCTTCAATAGAAGAAGTTCTTCCTAGCTATTGATTGAACACCTAAGTCTATTTTAAGATCCCTGAAAAGAGTTGATTTCTTGCCTCAAAAATCAAAACGTTCAATAATCAACATGAGCTTAAACATATTACTTAGCAGCAAGAATTGGCACATTATTCCTCTAAATCAAATTGAGTCACACTCCAAAATCCCAGTTACCAGTTGGCAAGAAATTAAATATGTGATTTTTCAGTCTGTCTTTATAAGCTACAAGATCAGTCACTGTCCTATGTAAACTAGGACATTTCAAAGGTGGCTGTGAATCGCTAGCCAACACTGAGATGTGAACAACTCAAGACCGTAGAGTGAGTCCGTAACCATACTGCTTCATTGCCAAAATTAGACATGGGAAAAATAGCAATGAAATAGTAACCGTACATACTTGGTTGGCACTTACCAATGCCACAACTCTCCTAAACATCAAACCAGATTGGGGGAATCTGTGCCACATTCTGGAGCTCTACACATTGTAGTTAATCTTCCTAAACTCCTAGTAGCTGAGTATAAGGAACCCCAAAGTCTGCTTCAAGCCCTTTTCAGCATACCGTCCCCCTTGTGAGGACAGTGTAAAATGCCCTCACTAATCATTTAGACCAATCAGAGGGACCTCCAGAAATGATCTTGTAGAAACTTCTGTCATAACCTCTGTCACCCACCACTGTTCTCTATATGGATCAATATTATTCTCTAGCAAGATGTAGTTTGAAGTGTTGTAGAAGCCAAATGTAAAAAACAAAAATAAGCAAGTAAATTTCATCTTATTGAAATATATTATTTAGCCCAATGCACTAGCTATTTATTATTATGATAAAGGTGATATACAAAGGGGTTATAATTCCATAAATCAGGTAATTAGTACATTTCTCTTTTGGACAATGTGATCCATTCTCTTGCTTTCTCCCAGTTTTTCCCTCTCGTCCCCACCTACAAGTTGCATAGTTCATTTTCAACATCACGTCTAGTGAATACCACTGCTGCAATTTGTTCACCTTTGTCCCTCCATTTGGGCGTCCCAAAGACAGATGAACAAACAAGACCAAAAAAAAAAAATAGAAAACAACAACAAAGAAAAATCCTCTTGTTTCATTTTCCTGGAGTTCATTTTGATAAATATTACTTCATATGATCAGAGGCATATGAGCATTGTGCTTTTGTGTTCCTGCCCTAATATCCTCCTTTAGTCTCCCTGTGAATGCCTAGAGTCCTGTGAAATTCATCCTAGTCCATTATATCTTAGATCTAGCTTCTGCATATGAGAGAAAACGTGCCATTTGTCTCTCTGGGCCTGCTTACCTCACTTAACATAATTTGTTCTAAGTCCATCCATTTCCCTACAAATGACATACATTATTTTTTCTAATGGCTGTGTGAAATTCCATGGAACCACACTTTTTGGACCTACTCATCTATTGTAGGGTATCCAGGCTGTTTCCAATATGCTGCTTTTTACATATGAAATTACATCAATTAATACTGAGGGGTTTTTTGCATCCCCCTTTTACGATCTTCAACACCTTTTTTTTTGTGTGTATCTTACATCCCACAGAATTGCCCGATAGCCACATGTGGCTCACAGCTGTCTTGTTAAGGCAGCATGCACATGAACAGCTGCTGTTTGCCTGGTGTGAAATACTGTTGAAGTGTACCTGTGAGACAAAGCTCCAGCTCCCCCTTCTAACCAATAGAGCTTGAAAGCCTGCTTCACAGAAAGAAAGTTAGGAAGCCTGCTGCTAAGATTCCACCAAGGCACTGCTACTTCCCAGTCACACTATCTTCAGCAAGTTACCAGATTTCTGTGCCTGTTTTCGTATCTGTAAAATAGAAACAACTTAGTTCCTGTCTTATAGACTATTTTAATGAGGACTACATGTTTTGATGCACAAAAATTTATTAAGACAGTACTTAGGGTACAGTAAACATTGTACCACTTATAGAATTTTGTGTATGTGTGTGTGTGTTGTGTGTGTGTGCCAGCCATGGGGCATGCCTGTCCCTGAGCTTCTTCTTGCTGAAGGCTGACACTCTATCCCTTGAGCCAGTTTATTAGAGATAAAAGTCTCATGGTCTTTCCTTACCCAGGCTGACTTCTAATTCTGATGCTTAGATCTCAGCCTCCTGAGTAGCTAGGATTACAAATGTGAGCCAAGGGCCACTTACAGAATCAAAGCTCAGCAAAATAAGACTTTAAAGGGGTGGATGGAAGAGGAAGGAATAGATAAATGAAGAGAAGGGGGAAATGCAGTCACAAATTCAATGTATATCCTACAAAATTAAGAAGAGTGTTGAAATGGGTGACATTGATCAAGATATATTGTATTCATAAACTGCTTTGTTAAATGGCAACTCCTTTTTATAATTACTTAAAGATAACAATAAAAAATAAATAAGCCAGCACTAGTGGCTCACACCTGTAATCCTAGCTACTCAGGAGGCTGAGATCTGAGGATCATGGTTCAAAGCCAGCCCTGGCAGGAAAGGCCTCTTATCTCCAATAAACCACCAGAAAACCGGAATTGGTACTGTGACTCAAGTAGTAGAGCACTAGCCTTGAGCTGAAGAGCTAAGGGACAGCACCCAAGCCCCGAGTTCAAGCCCCATGACTGACACAAGAGAGAAAGAAAGAAAGAAAGAAAGAAAGAAAGAAAGAAAGAAAGAAAGAAAGAAAGAAAGAAAGAAAGAAAGAAAGAAAGAGAAATTGGAAGGAAGCCACAAACAAAAAATAATTTTTAAAGTGACCACCATGCCTTCTCTCTTAATATACCACCTGGATTATTATGCCACTTCTTTGTTAAAACCCTTACAAGATTTCAGTTAGGGCCTGACCCCTGCCTGCCTCTCCAGCCTCATTCCAAGCCATCTGTCCCTGGCTTACTGCTGTCCTTCTGTTTTCACCTCAGGCCAACCCTAGCTGCTGATCCTTTACTTGCAAAAGCTAACTGTTATTAGTCCTTCCAGATCTTAACAGATGTTACTTTATCAAGAGAGATTCTCCTGGGTCTCCTTTCAACACACCTCTAATGTGCTTTAACTTATCCTCAACCCCTACACAAAAAGGCACCATAGCCTTGGTTGTGGCTACTTGGTAATGTCTATGCTTCCTAACCCTACAATGACATGACAGTCATCACGCTCTTTATAGACATTGTGTCTGCTTTGTTTTCCAGTGTTTAAGACATTTACATTTACTTAACTGAATAAATAAAGCTAGTGAATAGGTGAAGTCATTAACTATTGCTGCATCATGAATTTGCACAGGTTTAAATCACATTCGCCTATTGCCTCACAGTTCCTGGGGCCTTCACTTCATGGTCTCTCCAGAGGCTGCACCAGTGTTGGCCCAGGCTACAGTCATACCTGAAATCCATCTGGAAGAAGATTCCTTCCCAAGCTCACCAGCTGTTGGCAGACTTAGTTCCTTACTAAGCTATTGGGCTGGAGGCTCAGCTCCTCACCAGCGTTTGGTTCAGCCTGCCCTCAGGTTTCTTCCCTGTGGCCTTCCAGTAGAACTGGTTAGGACCTGGCAGTTAGCTTGCTTCAGAAGTAGTGGGCCAGGGATCCTGCTGACAAAATGGCTAATTTATATGTAATCCTGAAGTTATGTATCATTGCTGCAGTGTGTTCTAGAAACAAGTTACAGGTCCTGCCCACACTTCAGTGGGGGAATGCTCAAGAGTCTGAATACCAGCAAGCGATCCTGGGGACAAAGGATTCTGTCTGCTATTACAGACATTAATAGAGCAAATGAGAAGGCCTACTTATCTTCACCAAGAATATATGTAAAAGTGCTGGGGAACCTTATCTAGTGCGTTGTATACTGATCTGATTATATATAATTTGCTGTATGCCTATTTTACTTTCTGTGCATATTTATTGTTCCTTATGAGTCTTCTGCAGCTCATAGGTAATGGATTCCACAGGCAAACTAAGAATCTACTCTGAGAATTTTTTTAATTGTAAAGGCAATGTACAGAGGGGTTACAGCTACATAAATCAGGTATTAAGTAAATTTCTTTTTGAACACTGTCATGTCTTCCCTTGTTTTCTCCCAGTTGTTTTCCCTCCTGACCCCCCCTCCTCCACAAGTTGTATAGTTCATTTTCCACATCTGAGAATGTTTAAAGTACAGTAGTAATTCTCAATACCCCCTGGAACTGCCAATAATCACACATGATCTCCTTTGCTATATGCCTTCTACATGTTTGAAAATAACTGGGAAACTAGCTTTGAAACTTGATGAACATTTTTAGTACTCATGTATCACAGTGAACACTGTTTTTCTTCTGAGTGATACATTTAATACTTGACTATTCTATTAATCTCTCCGTGTGGGGATATTTTCTGAGGCCAGATAGATTTTTCAAAGTGTAAAGTCTTCATCATGCTTAAAGGGAATGAAATAAATTTCACTAACATTTCAAAACTAGTATTAATCTTATTTCATTCTTTTTCAATGCAGTAAATTGTGAAGCACTATTATATGTTTCTCCAGTCCTTTTGTAATATATAACCCCCTTGAAATGCTGGTAGATAGGTATTTCTTCAGTCACATTTGACTATTCTGTTTTAATCTTTTCTCAGGAATCATTCTTCCTGTTGTTAGTTTTCATTTCTCACTCCAGTTTTGCTTTCAGTTTTGTTACATTAATTGATTTTATCATGGCTACAAAAAAAAACTAGACAGAAACAACATAAGAGAGAAAATATTTCTTTTAGCCCATGGTTGCTTGGGCCTATGTGCCTGCAGAACATCACGGCTGCAGAGCCATGTTGTGAGGAGTTTCATCACCTCAGCACAGACAGGAAGGACGAGAGTCAGGAAGAGGCCAGGAGCAAGATGCAAGCCCTGCCCCCAAAGATTCCACCCAAGGGAACCAGCTCTTCCTACTAGATCTCACCCTAGATCCACCAAAAATAGTGCCACTAGCTAAGGACCTAGATTTTAACACTGGAGCCTATGAGGAACATTTCCTATTTAAACCGTTACAATCCTAAACCCTGATAACACAAGAGTCCACATTTATTTAACAGTACAAATTATAGCTAGTAAGGAAAAAAATCTTAATGGAAGATTTCACATGCACTTAATTCTTGAGCAGGTGAGCTCAAGGAGTTTTTATAAGCAGAGTAGAGATTTATACCCACTATTCGTTGATTTTCAAATCATTCCTAAATTTGTTTCACTTCTGAATACCACGAATGTATTTTTCTGTAACCTACTTTACTCCTAAAGTGTTTTGGTTTATAGGCTGCCTTAAATTTGTTCTCTGTAGGTGGTAGACCTCAGCAACAATGCTCTGACCACCATCCTACCAGTGATGATCATTGCTCTAGAATTTCCCCATCTGGAGGTCAACGTGGCTGATAACAAATGGCAGTGTGATGATAGCTTCACAGTCTTCCAAAGCTGCATTTCTGAATCTTGGAGGAAAACATGGGATGTAATTTGCAACAAGTCTATAGGTATGTCAGTAATGTCTCTCTTCCCTGGGATGGTACCATTAATGCATAAAAAATTGAGGCTTGAGACAGTGACAGTTCCTTTGAAAGCAAGAGTTCTGACCACAGCCTTGAGCTGTGTCACAGAATAATGTCTAGTGTCATCAATCATGGTGCCATCAGTTCATGGGAAATTTTCTTCTTGTGGTCAAAGAAACCTAGTGTGAATCACCTCAATTGCATTTAGGAAAGAAAAAAAGACAGAGAGAGATGGAGGGAGGGAGGGAAGGAAAAAGAAAGAGAGATAGGGGGAGGGAAGAAAGGAGAGAGGAGAAAAACAACAGGGGGAGAGATATGGAAAGAGGAAGGGGAGGGAAGAAAGAAAAAGTAAACAGAAATTTCACTAAAGAGAATTTTGCCCAAATTATCACAATTTCATCCCACGTCTTAATTTCTAAGATCTGAAATGTATTTTAAATTCATTCTAACCTTCTCAAAGTGATACATGTTCATTCTACACACACACACACACAAAAATCCCTCACATTTCACAGTGTATTTTCCTTTGATTTGCTTCTTGCCCCTCTCCTGAGTTATTACAGGGGTTGAACAATCTGGGAAGGTTTTGTTTCCCAATATTAATTATCTTGGAAAAAAAGACAAATAAATATACAGAGCTCCACCCTTACTTAGTTCTGTTCAGAACTGCCATCAAAGTAGAATCACAGCACTGTCAGACAGTGTAGAAGAAATCCACAAAGAACAGTTAAGGGTTGAAGGTGGTCATCCATGCTTGTTTCGTTCCTTTCTACAATCCACATTGGCATTCAAGTGTGGAGGACAGAAGAGAAAAATGAATATTTTGCTCATTATCAGCATCTGGAATGGTGAGGAAACAATCGTACAGACCGAGGTAAGGCAGAGATAGGGGGTTTGTTTTGTTTTGTTTTATTGTTGCTGTTTTGTTTGCGGGGTACTGATACAGTGTTTTGGCAAATATGAAGTAGCCAAGGTTATGAAGGAAGGAGGAGCAATGAGGCTGCCCACCCAGTCTAGCCTTTTTCTCACATGTCCAGCTGTCAGAGAGGAAGCCTGAGAAACCCAACTACTGGGTCTGTGAGCAGCAAATGTATGGCTAACAGTCATGTGTACCTGTGCCCAGAGTCATCTGTGGTTAGACAAGAAAAAGGGTATGAATGGGTGAGCGAATGCACAAATGAATCTTGAATTAAGAAAGCTGGAACAAACGAAGCTACTTGACACCAGGTTATCCACAGCTAAAAATTTAACTAGATTAGGACTGAGAACAACTTGCAGAAGCTTTGAAAACCTGGAATCTTACGTTGTTCTCAGTGTATGGTTTTTATCTGTCACTTGCAGGCAATGAGGACTCATATTCAGAGATTCCCAAAAGCAGAACATTCAGGGAGATACACCTTTCTCACATAAATCAAAATCCTGTGAAAAGCCTCATAAGGAGCAAAGCAGAGAGGCCTGGGGAAGGAATGTATCTGCGCGTTTCCCCTCTGATGAAGGATGCACCTGTGGACTCTGATCTGCGGGAGAAGCAGACACTGTGGCCAAGAGGGATCAGAAACACCTGGAATGTGCGGGCCACTGGTGAAGAGGATAATGACAATACCCCAGACCTTGCCCTGGCTGTCTGTCTCTCAGTGTTCATCACATTTATCTTAGCTTTCTGCTTGGGGTTTTTCATCAGACCCTGTATTGACAGACTGTGGGCACAAAGATGCACTAAAAGTCCTAGCTCCAACAACACCTACTCAAATGAGGGATTCTATGATGAAATCGAAGCTTCAAGCAGCACACGGCACCCAAGGAAAGATCTGCACCCAGCTTTCCATCAGAACCTCTGTAAGAATCAGAACCCTTCCCAGGTGACACTGCCAACCTCACACACTACTATCATTCCTGATGGGACTCTGGGAAATGGCAGAAAAGAGCCTGGAAGATGGCAGAGCACAGAACAATGTGGGAACAAGGCAGGAAGTAGAAGTGTCAGTATGCTTCCAAATGGCCAGGCAGACCTTTCCCCTCTCTGCAGGCATCCAAAGATTGATCATCACCAACTGATTTCCTCAGCACAGGATCACATTTATAGGAATGATATGATCTGGGAATCAGATTATGACACTGTGGCCCAGGAATATTCTCCTCCTGAGCATTCAGTGAATGTATCTCCCATGGCTGGCACATTTGGAACTGTCTCTGGCACAATCCATCACAACTTGAAAGAATTAGACCTAAGAAAAGTAGCAGATTCTCCCTCCAGAATAGCAACAAATGAAAGGACACAGGGATCTGGAGAGAGTAAAAAAAGGTGTCTTGAACAGCTGTCTGTGGAGACCACTGGCCCACACATGGAATGTTCTAAGGAAATACAGGTGAACAATTTTATCAGCTTGCCTTACACACAGCATCCAGGACTCCTTGGGGCCAACACTGAGAAAGAACTCCCAGACCTCTGCAGTGCAGATATATACAGTGAACCAGAAAATGGAGAACCATCCACCCTTCTGCCAAGATGGCGCAGTGGCCTGCAGGACATTCCTGCTCCTGATGAGCCCGTGCAAAAAGATGTCCCTTTTGGCCTTCAGTATGGCTTGGAATCTGACTACGATTCAGATGAAGGGTCTTTGTTTACTCTCAGTTCAGAGGGTTCAGAGGATACAAGGAATGTGACTAAAGAAGAGGAACATGGTGAGGGCAGTGGTGGGGCCAGCCAGCCTCTGCAGATCGAGGACTCAGAGGAACACAAGGACAATGTGACTTCAGTGGAACATCTCGAAGACAGCATCACCTTCCAAAAGATTCTGGAGAAGTATGAAACGGAGGAAGACCACTTTGGAAAGCCTCCAATTTCTAGGGCAGACTCTGGTTTGTGTGAAGCACATCTGCAAAGTGCCTCTAACATCAGTGTATCTGAGGATGCATTGATCTGGCCCAGGTCACTGGACAATCCACCTCTAAGTGATGAAATTGGTGTGTTTACTTGTGATTATGACAGAGTTCTTCAGCCTGGAGCAGTGGAATGGCAATGCTCACTTAGAGACCTGCAGTTTTCAAATGTGGACAATTTATCACCGACACCACCACCTTCTACTGATGATCCCAAGGAACCTGCTATGGAAAGGACTTAGACATTTCAAGGAACAGACACATCTCAAAAAGATATTCCTTCAAGGTCAGAGCAGGGGAAGACTTTAAGACCTCCACAGCAAGATTCTCAAGGGAGTGACCTAGGTCCCAACCAGATAGACACTGATATAAATGAGGTGTCTATATGCTCACCAGAGGACTATGATTCTAGAAAGTGTTACAGTCTCTGGTGATAAGCAAGCCCTCGGTTAAAAAAAAGGACAATATTTTGAAGATAGTTTTAAGGACTAAATGCTATTATTATTATAAGAGTTTCCAGATAAATGCAGTTCATTAAGAACACAGAACAATTCCAGCCAAATAGAGCAGGTTGAATATTCAGGGGGAGAATCTGTTACAAGTAGAAAGAAAAGGATTCTAACTTTCATGCTCAAACACAGACCCAGAGATGGGATGGGAGGTGAATGTGAGTGTCTGTTAAGAGCAACTCCACTGTGACAAAAGACAGGGACATTCATCTTGAGAACCAAAGAACGTCTTGGTAATCATTGGAGCACTTATTTGTGAATGCTGAACAGAAACAAATTCTTCACGAAGATTACAATGTTTTGGGAGATCAATTATGACACTACAAAATTAAGATCAATTCTAAGTATTTTTAATAATTTATGTTAAAAGAGTGGCCATTTCCTAGAACAAAATGTAGATTAAAAAATCAGTCTTCGCCGGGTGCTGGTCGTTCACGCCTGTAATCCTAGCTACTCAGGAGGCTGAGATCTGAGGATCGAGGTTCAAAGCCAGCCCGGGCAGGAGAGACCGTGAGACTCCTATCTCCAGTAAACCACCAGAAAACCAGAAGTGGCGCTGTAGCTCAAGTGGTAGAGCGCTCGCCTTGAGCTGAAGAGCTGAGGAACAGCGCCCAGGCCCAGAGTTCAAGCCCCACGACAGACAAAAAAAATAAATAATCAGTCTTCAAGAGAAGAAATGATGCTTTCTGTAAAAGATAAGGATTCTTTTCCATTAGCTTAAAACAAGCTCTTTTTGGTATAACTTTCAAGTCTGGCCTCTCATGAACTGTTCTGTTTATCTTTACCTTTTCTGACATTTTCTTCTTTTCCTTTCCCAACTCTCTTTCTGTGTATGTTCACATAAAGGCAGTCTCCTCAAGAGTTTCTCTCCAGTCTTTCTTTACAACCATTTTGTCGGCACTGAGAATGGCAAGGAAATAATACTGCCAACAATGTTCTAACAAGTATGGGCCCTGCTGCTTCTACAGCCATACAGATGGCCCAACCTCCCTCCCAAGTTCCAGATTCAAATCCTTAGCTCTAGTCACCCAAATACACATAGGTCATTCATTCATCTTGTTTTTCCCCTGTCCCTTTCTTGGTCAATACTATTAAGACATTTATCCAAGAAAGTTGGTTATAAGTTCTGTGTTCTGATTCCTTCTCTTTCATTTCCTACCTCTGAGACAGAATCCTGTGAGCAGAATGCAATGGGAGTTCCTAGATGCCTATTCAGAGAAATAGGCACAAAGGTAGGGATAGGAGCTGGCCAAACTGTGTCAGATCAGAGTTTGAGAAGAAAATAAAGTGATAGAATCTGGAGAAAGAGTCTGTCAGTCTGCCTCATTGCATCATTAGTCCTAAGGGATCTAGCTCCTCGGTAACCCTCAACTTGGTATACCAGTTCTCAATGCTCAAATAAGGCACACCTCTTGTCTAGATTATTATGATCTTTAATACTTTTCTTCACCTCATACAAGGTAAATTCATCACTCACTGTAATTTGTCACTCACAATAACTGTATCCCAGCCTTCACCTGGTTCAACATCTGCCCCAAATGCTCTTGTTAAACAACCCTTCAATTAACTGACTAGCTCCTACTAAGACCTCAGCTTCACTTTTGGACAAGTGGAAATTTTGGAGCCTAGACTAAGTTCAATATTCTTAGTACAAACTCTCATTGCACAGCCTTACTCTTCACATAGGAGAGTTCATCTTGAGTTCAATTAGCATTTGTGTAGTTATTAGCTTAGTGTTTGGCCCTTCTCTACTGAGAGCTCCATGAATCAATAGATCTCTTCCCTGAAGGCCTGGCATTTAATAGGTTCTTAACACATGCATTTGTTGAATAAATAGTGAAAGCACAAACTCTTCAGTGTAGGACAAAGAGTCCATAACTGGACCCTGATCTCATTTCACTATATCCTGCCCTTCTCTCACATGCAAAATTCAAACCAGCTGTACCTTACACGGGCCTATGTCATTCCACTGTGCCTTGGCCCATACTGTTGTCTACTCTCTGTATTTCACATCTGTATAAGCTCCTCTCCTCTGTAAACCTTTCTTCCTTCATTCCACCCATGTAGAATTGCTCACTTATTTCTTTAGACCTCCACTGGACCATGTATGTATAGTGGAAGAGATGAGGCTTCTTATAACCTGACAGACCTACTAGTCTCCTGTCAGTCAACTTCTGGCAGCTGGGTAGAATTCAGTTCCAACATGGAGTCTATGAAGATGCTCCTGTAAGAGCTGAAAGTTCTTAAGAAGAAAAGCAGTTTCTCCAGCTGCACAGAGAAAGAAGTTTATAAAGCTTTGAGTATTTTATTTGCTTGTTCTTATTCAGACTTTCAAACAAAACAAACTTCCGATGATGTGGCATAAATGTCACGGTGACAGCAGGTAAGCAATCCTATTACTTTTTTTTGTTAAAATACATTTTTATACCCCCTCTGAATATGCATACTATTGGTTTGGCGATGGTTGATTGATATGGGTGAGATCTGATTCCAGGTTTTCAAAATATCTTACCTTGAGTCCCTCCCAAATTGCCCAAAACTGTAAGCTAGCTGAGTTCTAGCAAGCCTCTTTTCTTTGGCTTTCCCTCTGTTTTACTTGCACCTATGCTGATTAGGTTTCAAATTCTGCTATTACATAAATGACCTGTAACATGTGTCTTTTTCTTTGGATAGCCTGTTTCTGTATATCTTTAAATAAACACTACCATTTGAACTTGGGGCCTCAGGAGCCTGCTAATTTGTAAGGAGTCAGGTGGATCTCATTTTTTTGTTATCTGGAAATCTCATGCTCCCAAGAACTTGAGAAAAAGGCTTCTGACTAGCGGAATCTAGATGTTGCACAAACTGTGTCTAGTTTAATTTTATTTTCAAACTTCTGTCCTAATATTTCACTCACATTCTGAAAATTCTAGAGGTTATGGAAAAATCAAAGTGTTACTGCATTTCAAGGCTTTTCAAACTCTTAATATTTTATCATATAATGAATAGATCTCAGATACCATAATAGACAAAGACATCCCAAATGTAAGCGTGCAATCTTTTTAGCCTTTGGCACATATGTTTTTCATCTGCCTCTGTATGTTGTAGGTGTGTGTGTGTGTCTGTATGTATCTGTGTGTATCTATAATCTTGAGTCTATTCATAGATTCATATGAATCTATTCATAGGGTTAAACATGAATAACATCTTTGTTCATTTGAATAAATACAACCTACACATAACACTTGTATTTGGAAAGAAAATTCTCATTGTTTTCATTGGATATCATTCCTGACTCTGGCTTTTCACGACTCAACGTAAGATTTTTGTTTTATTTTTAGATGCTCAAATCATTACAGCTGGATGAATACCATCTCCCCTAAGCTAGTTTTGGTCTTTTTCCAGAATTTCTAAAGCATTATTTTTTTTAGCAATAAACATTCAAAGACAGACCAGAATATTACCTCCAAAATAGAAATTAGCCTACTTTAAGGAGCCCTGCTCTCAGTTAGTGGAGAATACATAGTTCAGCCGTTGCTACTGTAATAAGAAATTTGTGTTACTAAAAAGCCTCCTGGTCCTAAATCATACTCTAGAAGCCAAAAGCCTTGCGGGACAAATAAAGTTGAGGAGACCACCAAAACAGTATGCAACCTTGTCACCAGAACATTAAGAAGCTATCCTGGATGACCCATCAGGCATGGCTAGGGACTACAATCTTAGAGAGTGAAAATTCACATAAACCAAGGAAAATGGTGGCCCCATGACTGGGACTTAGCCTTGGGCTCCACAGTGGTCTTCTCCTGGTGTTTCTGTTGATGTGGGGAATAGTAGCACCTGAGAAACCCACCTTTGTACAGATGACCCTGTCTTCCATAGACAGCTGTGAGTGAGGAGAGAGTGAGGAGACTGTGAAGGAAGAACACGGAAAGCCAATGATTGCATCTATTCTGGAATGCCTTTTCAAGAATGGTTGGGCAGCATGCCTGTCTCCCTACAGAACAAAGAGCAGACCATGCTTGACTATGAGTAATCACAGAAAGCAAAGCCCTGCAAAAAAGATGAGTGTACATGGACTAAAGACTAGAAACCAGGATGGGATCATGGGTGTCAGCAAGACAGGCCACAGCAAGCTGACGCCTTGCAGACTCCTTCGCAGAAGAACAGGTCCCCTGCGGCAACAGATGCCACAGCTGGATCCTGACTGCTCCCTCACTGTGAAAGCAGGTGGTGTCGTGCAGTTGGCTTTAGCCCTGTGCTTGCCACAGTCCCAGCCTGAACTATCTTCTTTGCACCATCAGCTTCAAACGTCAGGGCCTTCTCCACCTTCTTTTTCTGTCATTCCCTCCAGATCCAGAGGAACCCTACACTGTCCCCTCCTGCCTCCCACAATGCCTTTCCTGTGTTTTTCCCTCAGGCTTACCTGGGCTTGCACTGTAGCTGGCAGCAAGGGATCTCCACAGCCATTGGGGCATGACAACAAAATTAGCCTTGAAATGCCTTTTGTTTTCTTTCCTTTTTTTTTTCTTTTTTAAGGAAAAGAAAATATGCCTCCATCAGAAAGAATGATTCCACCCTATTTGTTAGGAAATGGAAAGACTTGGAAAAAATTACATTAAGTGAAGTAAGCCAGGCCCAAAGAAACATAGGTCTCATGGTTTCCCTTATCTGCAATAACTAGTATATGTCTAGGACAAGCAGAAAAGGTCAAAGGCTATGTACATATGACCAGATAAGATGATGCTAAGTGAAATGAATCCCAAGACAGGGACATAAGAGGTTTTCATTGCTGTTGTTTTTTCATGTTCTTATAATGTATTATGTGATTTTTTTTGTTTCTTTTGTATGTTCTTCCCCCATGGTATAACCCCTGTTTTCACTGTATTTGATTCTGGTGCCCTGCATATTGTATATACATTTTTCTAATTTGGGGAAGGGAAGGGAAATAACAAAATGTTGAAACAAGGATACAGGTTGACCCATTGAAACAATGAGATGTATAAGACACTATGTTGAAAACAAACTTTACAACTTGGGGAGGAGGGAGGAGTTGGGGAGGTGGGAAGGGAAGAGATGGTAGGGGAAAAACAAAGAAGGGGGTAACAATGCTCAATAGGAAATGTGCTCATTACCTTACTCATGTAACTGTAACCCCTCTGTACAGTATCTTTACAATAAAAAATATTTAAAAAGAACTGTAATAAAAGGAAAATAAAGAAAGATGCCCCCTGTTCAAGACAACCTCAACCCAGCGGGCAGTGCCCCTTTTAATCTAAACCCTTCCCCCTTTAGCCACTCCCAGACTCCACTTGTGTGTTTCACAAGGAAAGATTGGTTGAAAAAATGTTGAAGAGAAATCCTCCTCGAAAACCCTCCCAGTTTTCTGAGGGAGAAGATCAGCAGAGAGCCACTGTGACAGGCTCTCATTATGGCCTCCACATTCAGCAAATAAAAATCCAGGAAGCCCAGTAAAGTTTGCACTTAAGATAAGCAATACTACTTTGGC